TGATTTACATAGAGTACATATTGATCTGTACATTGAATAGGTCAGAATAAAATTATGGACTCATAAAATTTCACTGTTTTTAAAAGTTAGGAAGTTCACTGCAACTTAACAACCAAACATGGATTTTCACTTGAGTTTTAGAGCCCAATGACATTGGAGAATGGATATGCAGCTTCTCTCTGGGGTCTAAATATCCTAGGTGGAATTACTTTCAGGTTAGAGCAATGAAACTGAAGGGGTAAATAGCAGTAGTGTTTCTTCTTGGCTTACAAAGAGGAACTGTTTAGACTCTTCAGTCTCTGGCTAGTCATACTGATCACAGGGTTTGTGAAGGAGTGACTGGAAGGGTATCCTTGGGATATTGCTTGGGCTGTAGACTTGTCCTCTTCCTTTTAATGTAGTAAATTATTAGGCTTTCCAACTTGGATTCCATCACGTACTCTACTGTCTTCAATTACACAGTAAACAGGTATAATTAGATTTGAACTTGGCACTTCTACAACATCACTATATGGATACCAATTACTTTACTCAACCATTTTATAATTATTATTCAGGAGGAAACTGGTTGTTAATAGACTTATGAGTAGTGAGAGCACAAGTGACTTCAGAAACTAACTTCAAAAAGGGAAGATGAGGAAAAAAAGAGTCTGTGCTCCGCATTTGATGCTTCAAATAATCAAAATGAAGAAAGAGAATATCATATATGCAGATGCTGCCTAAAGGCATACAATGATTTTCAATCAGTCACAAGATCATAGATATATGGCTGGAAAAGACATTAAAGGTCAACTAGTTCATACCCCTCGTTTTATTAATAAGGAAACTGAAACCTATAAAGGTTAAATGATTTTCTAATTGATAGCAGAATTAGTACCTAAACCAAAGTCCTCAAACTACAAAATCTATGGCTCATTTTCCTGTACTACAGATACAACTTCCCACAACGTTAGTGACAGATATATTTATAGAGAAAGGACAAAAAAAGCTGATGCAATGATCATAGTTTTAAATTGAGTTCTCCAAGGAACTTTAATGAGATATTTTTGTATAGGCCCTTAATAAAGCCTTAATAAAGTTGATTACCTGATTGATTGTAGTACAGAGAGTACTCAACCAAAAGCCAAGAGACACTTGGGTTTAACTTAATTCATAAATAGTTTTTAAGTGCCTACTATGTGCACTTCACTTTTGCCAAGTCTCAGTTTCTTCATATTTATAAAGGGAATAATAATATTTGTACTATCTCATAAGGTTGGGAAGAAAGTGACCTGCGATTCTTACAGTGCTATAAAGCAGTGAGTCACTACAATGATACTAAGTGTAAGAGGTCGTTGTATTATTGAGAAGACAAATAGAACATCCAGGAGTTGGGAATGATGCATTTTTCACTATCATATGTATACATATGTATATGTAATACCTAAGATTTATATAGCACTTGAAGATTTTCAAAGCTCTTTATATATGTTAACTCACTTGATCTTCATGACAATCCTATGAGATGGGAGTTATTATTATCCTCATTTTCAGATGAAGAAACTGAGGCTGAGGTTAAGTAATTATACTTAACTAAATTACCAAGTTAGTAAGTGTCTGAGGCAGGAATTCAATTTGAGACTTCTGATGCCAAGTTCAAGTTCACACTATCCACTGTACTATAGGAAAGGCCACTCTCCAATCAAGGGGCTCCTACACTGTTAATAACAGAAAACCACTTTTTTAATCCATTCACATGACTGATGGCATGAATGAAAAATCATTTATTACACACTTACCACATACCAAGTATTGTGCTACTAATCCCTGGAGTAACAAATAGAAAAAGTGAACAGTCCCTGCTTTCAAGGAGCTAAACCTGCTGAGTGAGACAATACGTAACAAGCATCAGAGGAAGGTCAGCTACAGGAAAGATGGAAAGTCCTAGAAAGTCCTAAGGGGACAGCTGCTGTGAGGCAGAGCCAAGGCCTAGAAGTCCTTAGTGTACATAAGTAGGTCAGATAATTGTTGTAGAAGACAGCAGGGTATTGAAGCAGGGTAGCTGCCGATGCCTGGTGTTCCTGCATCTCCTCAGGAGGACTAGAGCTCTTGACTCCCATCTCATTCAAGACTTTGAGCAGTTACACAGCCAAAGCAAAGGGTGGAGGGAGTGAGGGGAGAAAGCATGGTGGGCAGAAGACCCCCAGTACTGGTGGGTCTTTTTTTCACCAAGGCATCTTGGCCAAAGTCACAGCGATCATTGCTGATCCTTTCCCTGAAATGTATTATTCTGGAAGGAGGTTACTGATTTCAAGTGATTATAACCCTTATTTCAAATATGTGTGTGATGGTAATATAGGCATTATTTCCATTTCATAAAGAAAATAAATTGGTTGGAACCCCTTTCTGTGGCATATGCTACACACACACACACACACACACACACACACACACACACACACACACAAAGTACATAAGGATCTGTGATTTCATCAATATGGGAACTCTTTCCCTAAAAGCAGATTGCCATTTGTCTATGACTCATAGGTTCACAAAATTGTCAATCTAGAACAGAAAGCCATCTACTCCTCTCCTTCATTTTACAGATAAGGAAACAGAAGCTTAAGAGGTTAAGGGACTTTACCAAGGTCACATAGGTAGTAGGAATCAGAGGTGGGATTTGAATCCAGGTCCTCTGAATCCAAAGGCAGTATTCTTTCACCTGTACCATAATGATTTATTATATAAGTGCTAGAAAATTATTTAAGGTACATAGAAGTTAAATTACTTCTCCAGGTCATCATTAGTCAACAAGCATCTACTATATGCCAGACACAATACTAATACAAAGAAAGGTAAAAGACAGGTCCTACACTCAATGAGCTCACAATCTAATAAGTCTCAGAGATAGATTTGAATGAAGGTCTTCCTGACTTCAAGCTGAGTCCTCTACTCATTATGCCATACTGCCTATCTCTGTAATACTTGTCACATAGTAATTGCTTAATAAATGCTTTTTTATTTATTCTAGATTGATTCTATACACACACATACATACATACACAGAGGACCCTAAATTTATTAACTGTTACTTTCAAATTATTTGAAATGTAGTTGCATAATCATGTAGTCCTCTCATCTACACACACAACTTCTTCTTGAATGATAAACATCAGAAAAAAGATATATCAAAGGTACACAAAACCAGATTGAGGCCTTTCCTGTCTGTTTTTAATAGGGTAGGAACCTATTAATTTGAATTTTTCCTTAAAATGGGTTCCTTAGAATACAGAAAGGGCAAGTTTGTCCCCCAGGCTCCAAAGGCATCTGAAGAACAGTCTATAATGAATTGACAAGAAGTAAAATAAATTTGGCGATTCTCTTTCATGTGACTGGCTTAGACTAGAAGTATTATAAAGATTAAGGAGAACACACACACACAAAGATATACATACACACACATGCACAGTTGGGTTGAGTTTATTGTATGAGATGCACTTCATTATAATGTTCTATTTGCCAAATGCTAAAGAACTCAGTAGTCACTGAGTAGATAGGGAAGTAAAATTGAACCCTAACTGCCGAGGAATGTGTGTATATAATTGAGAAAAAAAGATTTTTAATCCGTTATATAGAATAGAAAACAATAATGTGGTGTAAGGTAAACACAGACCATGAAGCTAAGAAGTAGGGTTTTTTTTTTTTGCTTATATTAATTGAAATGTATGTTAAATGGGAGAATACTTGGAGCTGATAAATGATTCAATTTTGTTATGATGTATTTATAATATGGAAATCTATGTGGAAATCCAGTGGAGATGGGCCATTTTTACCTAACCAAGAGAAGGAACCTCACTATGCTATTTTCCTTATATAATAGTGCTTGCTTCAGTTAGTTTGTGGATAATGAAGAGTCATTGTCCATTAACATTTTTGGTTCACTGAAAGGAAGGAAGAAAAGAAGAATATAACTGCCAAAATAGAGAAGGGAAGAAGGGAAGGGAAGGGAAGGGAAAGGGAGAGAAGAGAAGAGAAGAGAAGAGAAGAGAAGAGAAGAGAAGAGAAG